TTTTAATTTTTGACTCATGTACTTTTAACTTGTTAGTTAAATTTGTGTCTTCTAGGCTGCAACAGTTCCAGGATACATCTTCAAGGATATGAACATGTACCGCTAAGCACAACTGACAACAGTGCATCTGAATTCCAAAATCAATCTCCACAATAGTCTATGTGTTACCTATTGTCAAAAGGGCCCTTTAGAGTAGGGAGAGAAGTTCTTCATCCTGAAACCTACAGCATCCCTTTTCAGGAGGAAGTAGGTAAGAGACTATGCCATCCCCTTTTCCTTATGAATCAGGGTGAAATCTTTCTCAGGGAGGAGTGATAGGGAATGGCAAAGGACACACTGACAAAGGAGATTAATCAGAACTGGCTTTGACAAGTACTGTGGCAATGGGAAAATTAAAACAGACTTTCAAGGGGGGTGGAGAGGAACGAACTGGCGGGGAGGATAGAGAAAATAGTGCAACAATGAATGATGGGAAACCCAAAATCTCTGTAAGTGTTCATTAAAATTAATAAAATATATAAAAAAAGAATGAAGAATGCAAAAGAATGCACTAAAACATCGAGAAGACAAAGCACAGGGTAAAAATCAAGATGTTAAGAAACTGAACAGAAGATTTCCAAAGGCAGTACGGAGAGACAAAGTATTATAATGAAATGTGCAAAGCACTGGCATCAGATAATCAAAAGGGCTGAACTTGCTCAGCATATTTCTTAAGCTAAAGGAACTTAAGAACAAATTTACCTCAAGTTGCTATACTTAAGGATGCTTTGGGCAGAATATAAAATGATCCAGGAATCATCAAAAGAAGATGGAAGGAGTACATACAGAGTTATTGTACCAAAAAGAATTGGCTGACACAAAAGAATTTCATGAAACAATGTATGATCAAGAGCCTGTAGTGGAAGGAGGAAGTTCAAGCTGGTCCAAAGGAATTGGCAAAAAAACAAGGCCCCAGGAATACAGCATACCAACTGATATATTTCAACAGACAGATACTGCCCTGTTGTGCCAAGAATATGAAGGACAATCACTTGGTCAACCGACTGTAAGAAATTCATATTTATTCCCATTCCAAAAAACGGTGACCCGACAGAGTGTAGAAATTATTGAACAACATCATTAATATCACATGCAAGCAAGATCTTGCTGAAAATTATCCAAAAATGACTGGAGCAGCACATTGAGAGAACTGCCAGATGTGCAGGCTGGATTTAGAAGAGACCGTGGCACTAGAAATATTATAGTTAAGGTTAGGGATATTATAGCTAATGTTAGATGGATCTTGGCAGAAAGGAAAGAATACCAGAAGAATGTCTATCTGTAATTCATTGACTATGCAAAGGCTTTTGACTGTGTGGATCACAACAAGCTGTGGCTGACTCTGAGAAGAATGGGAATCCCAGAACATTTGATTGTGCTAA